AAAAAAAAAAAAAAAAAAGTGGTTCTCATGACTTACAGTCCAGTATGTGAAGAGTCTTGTGTTGTTATCACCATATAAATCTGGGCTAACCTGTTTTTCCCATCAAAATTTTAATAAAAATGACACAAAAAAAGGCAAATAAATCAATAAATAAATAAAATAAAATAAAATAAAATAAAATAGAAATAAAATGTAAGTAACCTGCCAGCCTGCTTCAATGCTATTGAGATCTGAAGCAAAAGAACCTCCAAGAATCCATAGCTGGGACAAGCTGAACTCATTTGACTGTTGAATTTTAGGATTCCACACATTTATGGTTGCCTTTGCTCCATAATATGCATCTCCTTCAACATAGGCTATGGCATGCTAAACACATCTCCAATATTTAAAAACAACATTAATAAATCAAAAAAGAAGAACAGAATCACTTAGATAACATGAAGAAAGCATTTATTATTGAAGGCAGTGTTGTAAGTTAGGGAGATGCTACTGTCCCGTTACGGAAACATTCCGTCGGGGGGTTTGTAACCGTTAGATCTACTATCCTCGACGATTACATGATGATCTAAAAATTACAAAACCCCGACGGAAAGGTTCCGTAACGGGACCGTTGGCATTTCCCTGTAAGTTAACTCAATCAAAGTTTGGAGAAGAATAGCAGATTGAACTACCTGATGCCCATTTTGGTTTACAAGGTTAGGCTCAGGGGCATCATCAGATGTTGGTCTAGGCATGCTCTTCTTGTTTTTCTTCCCATATTTATTGATGGAGCTTGCTCTAAACAGATCCTCTTTCTTGGTTCTTCTCATGGGGACTGTGCCCTCTGGGCATCTCCCATTCATGTGCCACAACTGAGCCATTGGCTTTGGCCCAGCTTCATTTTTGCTCTCAGTCAGTAATAACTTCTCTGGGTGATAACTAGGCCTCATCTGCAAGAATTCACTTCTTTTTTTTTTTCTGTTCATTTATGAACAAAAACGAACACATTCAGAGTCAAAAAAATAAAAAAATAATGATTTTATTACCTGAATTGTGTGGTTTTGAAAGATGGGATGATCAAAAGCTGGCTGGTGAGAAATATGGACACAATCAATGATATCACCATCTGGGCTCTACTTTTTTTTTTTGGCACAAAATCGACCTGTCAGTTTTATTTTGATTTTAAAATCTTACACACAGAATGACAAGCAAATTAAAGACACCTTGATGGACTTGACAGACGGCTTGTTCAGACGGCCCAAGCGCCTCTTGACTTCAAGGCTCCGGCGAGCCGCCGCTGAAGCGCCGCCGTGCAACGGCGCCAGTAGCAGAAAAACGAACACTAAAAACGCTCTCGCCTTCATATCCAGCAACGCCGCTGCTCAATCAAAGCGCCAGACCCTCCGAGACGCTTTCGGGAATAACAAATAATCTGAGCTGCGATTGTTATGCAGTCACAGTATCAAGGCCAGGCCAAGCCAACCATGAGAATTTTTTGAAATTATGAGGAATTTCTCTGGTTATCCTTATGGAGGGCCCTCCCTGGAAGTGGAAAATACTTTTTGTGAATAAAAAAATAAATCGAGTGGAGTTTTTATTGAAGATGAAAATTTTGTTGAGTGGAGAAAAATCTAACAAAACTTGAACTTGCCGACGCTGTTAGTAAGTTTGTTTGTTTTTGTTCTCTTCCGTCCGGTTCGTAACCGTTAGATCAGATCCACTATTTCTGACAGTTATATGATGATCTGTTACAAATCTCGACTGAATGGTTTAACGAACCTTAACATTTTTCCATCTATATATATATTTGTTTTCTGTTTAACTCGTGAAAAGTAGGCGACCCCACGATCCGTCGTCGTTTTGTTCAGTTTTCTTTCACCTTTTTAACAGAGTTGGGCTGTCGCCTCAGCTTCCACTCTCACTGTTGGTAGTGCTGTGGACATGTGATTTTTGGGTGGACAGAGGCTCTCATTATCGCTCTACAATTCCAACCGTCCGATCATAAACAGTTGATGATCATGCGATGCGCCTTATTAAGATTTTTGACATTACCAAGTCTATATACATAGTAAACCGTTGAGGGCACCGTCCTAACCGAATTTTTTAGAATAATAAATAAAGAGTAATAACATAAGTGGTAAACAATCGCGCAACATATAAACGTCGTACTCAATACAATTATATTTTAGTGCAATATGAACTAATGTTAGGCATGGCAACGGGTCAATCCAATCGGTCAATTGGCCACTGGTCGACGAGTTCTGAACTGAGCACGTAGTTTGACCGAGTCGGTTTTAGAACATCTATATATTATTTTTTAAACCGTTGGGCCGGTTTTGGGCCACCTGTATATAAACTTTTGAATTGTCGAGCTGGGTTAGGGTCGGCCTGCAATCGGCCCCAAGAGACGGGTCGTCATGATCTTTTTATTTTGGTCAAGACAGGCCGGATCTGACCTACTAATAAATATTGGCGTCTCGGCAGACTAGATTGAATCCACGTCGATGAATTATTTTTCCAGTTGGAGATATATATATATATATATA